AAAGAGACTTAAATATAAGACCTAAAATGATAAAATATACAGACAAAAACAAAGATACTAAATGTATGGGACTTGGTCTCAGAGAGGCTTTTGTGAAGTGGACCTTAAAGGCAAGGGAAATAAAAGCAAAAATATGAATAGGATCTTAATCAATAAAAAATATATTAAAAAAAAGACTTAAATATAAGACCTAAAATGATAAAATATACAGACAAAAACAAAGATACTAAATGTATGGGACTTGGTCTCAGAGAGGCTTTTGTGAAGTGGACCTCAAAGGCAAGGGAAATAAAAGCAAAAATAAATGAATAGGATTACATAAAACTAAAAAACTTCTGCACAGCAAAACAAACCATCAAAAGGCAACCAACCAAGTGGGAGAATATATTTGCAAACAATACCTCTGATAAGGGACATATTGAAATCCAAAATATATAAATAAATCGTATAACTCAACAAAAACAAACTATTTTAATTAAAAAATGGGCAGGGGACCTCAACAGACATACAAATGGCAATCAGATATATGAAAAGATTCTCAACTTTGCTAGTTTTAGAGGAAATATAAATCAAAACACACCTGTTAGAATGTCTATTATCAATAAGACAAGAAATAAACGTTGGAGAGGATGTGAAGAAAAGGGAACCCTCTTACATTGCTGGTAGGAATGTAAACCTGTACAGCCACTATGAAAAACAGTATGGAAGCTCCTAAAAACTTAAGAAAATAGCTACATATGGCCTAGCAGTCCCTCTTCTGGGTATCTACATGAAAATTTAAAAAACATTTATTTGTAAAGATATATGTACCCTGTGTTCACTGCAGCAATATTTACAGTAGCCAAGACATAGAAACAACCAAAGTGTCTTTCGATGAATGACTAGATAAAGAAGATGCAGTACATATATACAATGAAATACTACTCAGCCATAAGAAAGGATGAAAAATGGCCATTTGTGACAACATGGATGGACCATGAAAATATCATGCTAAGTGAAATAAGACAGTTGGAAAATGACAAGAATCATATGATTTCAATCACATGTAGATATAAAAAGAAAGCAACAAATAAACTCTTAGACTCAGAAAACTGTAGGAAGAAGGGGGCTGCAGGGAGGATAAGGGGGGTAAAGGGATCAAATATATGGTGACAGAGGGAGACTAGACTATGGATGGTGAGTATACAATGCAATCAATATACAGATGATGTATTATAGAATTGTACAATTGAAAATTATATAATGTTATTAGCTAACATCACCCCAGTAGATTTAATTAGAACAAGAAATCCTATGCCCTTGAAGACCTTACAGCAGAGGGTCTTTTAGGATGTATCAACATTGCTTTTAAAATCCTTTTGTGATAGCATATAATGGTGGATGGCTTGGGTCAAAATAGGAGGAAAAGAGAAAGGAAATATATACAGATAAGTACGCCCTGACCAGTCCTGGGCCTTCATTTATGAGAAAGGAAGAAGGGGAAGGAAGGGTTAACTGAATTTGGGTTATTGTGATAACATTTACTTGGCAAGATTATATACATACTTAGTTCCATATTATTAACATTTTGTCCTATATTTCCCAACCATACAAAATTAGAAAGTCTTCAATTTCTTTCTTTTTTTCCCTTTAACAAATAATCTGTGGAACCTTGCTAACCATTTGCTTCTTTTGTTGGGTGATTTATCTTGATTACTTCAAATTTGATCTTATTTCTAGGGGTAGACTGACCTCCCTTTAAGGCATATTCAGTTTAGTTTCATATTCTTCTTGCTCCTAAAGTCTTCCTGATAAACCTCTGCCATTTAAATCTATTGCTAGGTTGATCAGTGTGGGAAAAGTATTTGCTTCTTAATGCCTAATTCTAGATTTTATTTATAGGCATGTATATCCTGGTAAGCCGTATACATTCTAGAAATACAGAAACCTCATTTAAAACAATGCTTTAAAACTATACCCTGGAGTAGAGCTGGTTTGACTATTTTCCTCTCCCATTCTCCTGGCCCACTCTGCTAATCAGTGCCAATGAATTCATTGTGTTGCCCAGGAGACAGTCGGTAAAAGAATAAACAAGGAGAAACAGGCGCCTCAATAAACCAGTGGATGAACATTTTTAAGTCTTGAATAACTGAGTGTTGATTGTAGTTTGGACATTCAAAAATACTAAGATGTGATTTTTCTTTTAGGTGGGAAATGAGAAAGGATGAAAAACTAGAAGAGGAAGAAAAAGTAATGTTGGAACATTTAAAACGAATTTGCAACATCCAGAACTCTTCTGCCTCAGATACCAAGGAAGAAGAGTAATCTGCAGAAAACAGCAACAGCTTTATTTTAGGAAATAATCACATATAATGGAGTAGGATTTTTACTACAGTCAGGATGAACCTCAGATGTGCTGTGAAGCATGAAACCAATGACTGAGTAATCTCAGAACTGAAAAGGAATATAGCTCATAAAGAATAAATTGCTCCACATTTTTTATTTTAAAAATAATTTCAAATGTTTTTCTTTCCTCAATCTTTCTCTTTAGATGATAATAACTGCTGCCATCTCGTGTTCCCTTTGAATTATTTTTTTCTTTTTTCAGTCTTGAAGTATCTATGACAACAGACAAAATGTTTGAAAATCCTTCCCCTAAAGATTTTTAAATACAATATTTGGATGTTAAGTTGTATGGCGTCACATGGGCCTCTGAGAGTCATCTGAAAATTTCAATCTAATTTTGTAGTTGTATTCCAAATCCAGGTCTTACCAGACTTCTTTCTCATAGCCTCTTCCTCATCCAGTGTATCTTAATCATAGCCACAAAAAGCACTCTCCTGAAGTATAGCTTTATTCACATCTCTGCATATAGTGACTTTTTAAATATCAGTTCCAATCACATGCTTTCAGATCCTATACCCAATAGCTCCATGTTCAGGCAACTGCCAGCCATCTTCTCCTTACACACACTAAGGAAACAGAATGTGTTCTAGCACTCTATATGCCAGGTAAAGTTATACACACCATAACCTTCCTATCACTGCCTGATATTAGATTCTAAAAACTATAAAGGCCTTACAGTATAACATGAAGTCTCCTTTTATACAATAGTCTCCCCAAATACCTACTACAAAGTCATTCACCTAGTTGACAGTTAATAAACACAGTTGTTTTAAAGACGGCTATTGAATGAAGACATTTAGACTATTGAGCAATCTATAGGCCATCTGGGAGAAGCTTTATATCACAAACTATTTTAGACCATATGACATTGAATATTATGTTTTTTGATGTTCTTACATTTCTGTAATTTTTACAAAATATATGTAGGCATTTCTCTATGCCTCCCTTTTCAAAGAAGTATAGCAAGAGGAGAATGGGATGAGTTGGAAGGAGAGGAAAATAGAAAAGAGAGAAGAGCTGGCAGTTGAATTCTCTTCTATACTTGCTCAGTGAAATTACTGTAGTCATAAGTGCAATAAAATTTATAACTAGAAATGTTAAATTACAAGTTACTAATTTATCAGATCATTTTGACTCCATACTTGATAGGTTTCTTAAAGTATGATAAGAAGTGGTATTTCAAAAACAGTTTCTCACAATAATTTTGCATTTGTATGTGTTAACAACAGAAATAAATACTTCGTAACTCACCATATGCTTACTACAAAAATATTATCTCCCTGTGAAATATTATCTTCCTCACTATTCTTCTTAACTGTATTTTTGTAATTATAAAGAGGTATTTATTTTATTATTGGTTTAGCAATTACTATGAATGAATTAATAATTAAACAGTATGAATTAATTTTTAATAAAATGTAGATGGAAATGTATGTTTCAGATTTAACACTGTTATAGAACTACCAAACAAGAAATAGGAAAAACTATTTTGTCTACCAATACAAGCTTACTCAAAATGTCCTATTAATTCCACTTCAGATAAAATTGTGAGTCATAGAGAACTTCAGTTCATTTGTAATTAGTATATCTTACTACAAAAATATCTTTAAGATTTTTAATGCTTTTTGTTATACTTGAAATATTTCATAATAAAAATGTTAAAAAGCTATATTCACCCTTAAAAAAGAACAAAATCCTGTCATATGTTACATGAGTGAGTTGTGAAGACATTAAGTGAAATAAGACGGTCACAAAAAACACAAATAGTATACGATTCCACTTCTATGACATATCTAATGTAATCAAATTTATAGAAACAAAGTAAAATGGTGATTACTTGGGGCTATGGTGATGGAAAAAGAGTAGTGTAATGGGTATAGGTAGACTTTCTCATTTTTACAAGATGAAAAAGCTCTGGTGATCTGTTTCACAACAATGTGAATAAACAACACTACTGAACTATACACTTAAGATTAAGATTTTATGTTATGTTTTACCCAACTGAACAAGAAACACTGCTGTAGGTGGAATCTCCACAAATAAACATTCCTAACACGATGCCTGAAAGCTCTTAGGTTTTAATAGGAACTGAGGCCAGCATAGTCCACATAATGATAAAAAACAAAACAAAAACTATCTGCCTTGCCTTTGAGATATATTTTCAACAGCACCATCAGTAAAGCAGTACACTCTTGTTTCTCCAGAATTTAAAGAATCCAAAACATCGTAAAACCTTTTCCCCCTCAAAATATTGTAATAATTACTTGCATGAGTAAAAATCTGTGCTAGTTACTTATTGCTGCATAACAATAGTACCACATTTGGCAGCTTAAAACAATATACATTTATTATCTTATAGTCTCTGTGTGTCAAGTGTCTGGACATCGTTAAGCTTGGATCTCTGCTTGGGATCTCACAAGATTACAATGGAAATGTCAGCTAGTAGTGGTCTCATCTAAGGCTCAATTCGGGGAGGATCCCCTGTTAAGCTCCCATAGTTATTGATAACATTTCTTACTTAGCAGTTTTTAAGACTTGGGGCCTCAGTTTCCTTTCATCTGAGTTTCCCCATTATGGCTTCTGGCTTTCTTAAGGTCAGCAAGGGAGGGAGAGTCTCCTTGCACAATCAATATTACAACCATCTATATGTATAAAAGCCTAAGCGACCGAACGACTGGTTGCTATGATGCACACTGACCACCAGGGGGCAGACACTCAATGCAGGAGCTGCCCCCTGGTGGTCAGTGCACTCCCACAGGCAACCTCCCTTGCCCAGCCAACACCCTGTGGCCGGTCACCCTCCCACGGTCCCTTCCCCCCACCCTTCTCCAGTGGGCCAACCTTCCATGGTCCCTCCCCCCGGCCGGCCAATCTCCTGCGGCCCCTCCCCCCGGCTGGCTGGTCCCCCCAATCGGCCCTGAACGCCAGCCAGGCTGAGGGACCCCACCTGTGCATGAATTCATGTACCAGGCCTCTAGTATATAACATAATCAAATGCATGTAACCATGCATATTTAATCACCTTTTCCAAATTCTAGTGGTTACTAGTAAAAGCAAGTCACTCATCCCACCTGTGCTTAGGAGAGAGGGATTAATCACACAATAGTGTGAATCAAGAGGGAAAGATGATGGGAGCCACCCTGGAGTCTGATCACCACAAGTTGGAATTTGGGCCCTGAAATATCCTATATGGGGGGAACCATGTAGGAAAGTGGAAATAGAGTAGACTAGAAATAAGAACAGTTGGGAGTCAGTATTTGGTGCTATTTATTAAGCAGCTATGATAAGCCAGGCTCTGTGCCAGGCTCTCCATAAGTAGACAATTTAATTCTCTCTCAAGGGAATTAAGGTTTCATTGAGGTCTGTATTGAGAGCCGTAGTTGAGATAATACATAAATGAGTTGTAGAAAAAAAACTGGCCCAAATTTTAAATAAAGACACAGGGAGGTTCTGTTCCAAGATGTGATATAGGGAGATCTACTTAACCTCCTCCCACAAACACGTTGAAACTATAGCTACAGGTAGAGCAATTTCCTTTGAGGGGGGAAAGAAAATGTAAAAACCACCTGAGGGATCACTACATGCAAATGAGTGGTCCTGCAAATGAGAAAAAAAAAAAAACTCACAATGAAGCAGATGGGCTGAAACCCATCTTGTCAAAAACGCTACCCCTTGTGCTATGACCTGCAATGAGAATGGAACTCAAAACTCCAGATTCTCTTTGAGGAGCAAAGGTTTTGAATCCCACATTGGGCATCCCAACTTTTAAGATCTGCACCTGAGTGATGAGCCCCCAAAATATGTGGCTTTGAAAATGAACAATGCTCATGTCCAAGGAGCCTACTGATCTGAAAAATGACTCCCAAAGGGCTCAGAGTTCCAAACTCATTCTCCTCAGGGTCAGGCGCAGAAGCAGTCAGTATCACCCATACTTTCTATGAGAGGCTCAATGTTAATCTTAAAGTACTAGCCTGAGGGGAAGGCATGTAACTTACTGCAAATCCAGGGGCATGCTTGAGTACTCTCAGGGAAAAGGGCTGACGGGTGCCATCTTCTTTCTTTGAACAATTACTATGAACAATTACATGACAACAAATTGGACAACCTATAGGAAATGGATAAATTCCTAGAAACATAGAAACTGCCAAGACTCACTCAGGAAGAAATAGAAAATCTGAACGGACTGATTACTAGTAAGGAGATTGAATTAGTAATAAAAAAACTTCCCAACAAACAAAAGTCCAGGACCAGATGGCTTCACTGGTTAATTCTACCAAACATTCAAAGAATTAATGTCAATCCTTCTCCATCTCTTCCAAGAGTAGAAGAGGAGGAATACTTCCAAATTCAGTTTACTGAATACTTCCAAAACTCATTCTCCTCAGGGTCAGTATTACCCTGATATCAAAACCAGATAAGGATGCCAAAAGAATACTACAGGCTAATATCCCTGATGAACGTTTATGCAAAAATCCTCAACAAAATCTTAACAAACCAAATTCAACAATGCATTTAAAGACTCACATACCACTAACAAGTGGGATTTATTCCAGGAATGTATGGATGGTTCAACAACTGCAGACACACCACCTTAACAAAATGATCTGCATCTCAATAGATGCAGAAAAAGCACTTGATGAAATTCAACATCCACTTTTGATAAAAATTCAACAAAAGGTACAGAGTAAACAGAGATCGACATAATAAAAGCCATATGTGATGAGCCCACAGCTAACATCAGACTCAATGGTGAAAAACTGAAAGCTTTCCCTCTAGATCAGGAACAAGACAAGCATGCATACTCCTGCCACTTTTATTCAACAGAATATTGGAAGTCCTAGCCAGAGTAATTGCAAGGGGGGAAAAAAGCATCCAAACTGGAAAGCATAAAACTGCCACTATTTGCAGATGACATGATACTATGTATGGGAAAACTCTAAAAGATGCTACCAAAAAAATGTCAGCATTAATCAATTCAGTAAAGTTGCAGTATACAAAAATCAATATATAAAAATCTGTTGTGTTTCTATACACTAATAATGAACTATCAAAAAGAGATACTAAGAAAACAATTCCATTTGCAATTGCAACAAAAGAATAAAATACCTAGGAAAAAATTTAACCAAGAAGGTGAAAGACCTGCACACTAAAAACTATGACATTAATGAAAAACATTAAAGAAGACACAAAGAAAAGATATTCTGTGCTCATGGATTAGAAAAATTAATATTATTAAAATGTCTTTTCTTCCCAATGCAATCTAAAGATTCAACAAAATCCCTATCAAAATTCCAATGACTTTTTCACAGAAATAGAAAAAGCAAACCTAAAATTTATATGTAACCACAAAAGATTCTGCATAGCCAAAAACAATAATAAGAAAGAACAAAGACTACTTACAAAGCTACTGTAATCAAAACATTACGGTATTGGCATAAAGATCAGTTTAAAGGAACTGCAAAACTACAGGCAAGTGTTGTTGAACAATAGTGATGAATACTAGGACAATGACCAAAAGAAAGAGCAGTCCATACCTCCATGTACCCTATAATAGGATTCCCAGTAATTAGACAGGAGAAATTTCACTGCAAAGGAGTCCATCAGGAATCCAGAGGAACAGAGAGGCCTCCTGCACCACCTCCGTGAAGATACTTGAGTTTCCCCTATACACAATACTCTCTTGAGAAGAAAAAGTTAGAAATGGGGCCAATTGTCTGACAGGATGTATTCCTAATGGAAAGTTTAATTATTGGGATGAGTAAACATTTAGCAGGAAACCATTTTACACTGTAAAAGAAAGTTGGTCTTAACTGGTAAAATTAAGGATTAAAACAAAAATCTACCTTAGCAGAAATGAGAGCTATAGAACAGGAGATCAGTTATAGAAAGTAAAATTACTGCATATCTAAATAGCACTGTGCTGTACATTGCATTTGAATCTAACCCGGTAAGCACTGGCATGAGTAAGCGGTACACAGGCTCAAGACACTTCACGTTACGCAATAAAATCTACAAGCTGAATTGGTTATCTTGAAGCCAAATAAAAAAGGAAGGCCTAAGAAGCTTTTCCTTCGTGCAGGTATCTGGTGCTGTCCCTGGATTGGTAAGCATAACAACAGGAATGGAGTGGATGGCTCATTTCAGTTGAATCGCTTCCTGGAGACCACAGATGGCCTAGAACTGTAGAGGGAAGAGGCCAAATCTGCTCTTACAGTTGCCCAGTGGTGAGCCTATGCTATCCGCAAAGGGTACTGATAATAGCTTTCAAACTTCCACTGACTAATGCTTTCTTCAGATGAATTTTACTCCAGCAGACCCCAAATACAAAACAAATATAAAGGTTAAGAAGGTTATGTAGACAGTACATATATTTTCCTATAAAGTCCCTTAAGCAATTCCCCAGCACTTTTTCCATGGAAGGAAGCTTCTGGTTCAAGATGGCCAACTGAACAGAAACTACTACCTTGGACTCAGACACACTGTGGCTGGAATCTCACCCCAGGCTAACATCTTGAGAATGGCTCCCTGAAGAAAGTGAGCAATCTGCTTGGAAAGTGTCTTCCTGGAAATAATATATATGGAAGCCTAAAGCAAAGACCCATTTTCCCTTTTGTTTCATAGATCAAGGTCATCTAGAAGAAGCAAGATCAAATTTCCTAGGATTTAGTAGCATGGTAGTTATTGGTCTCCTGACCAATGAAATGTAAACAAAAACGGTGTGAACAAATTCTGGGAAATTCTTTGTTG